GGATGCCGTACTATTTGGGGGACCTAAAAAGTCACCGCAATGTAGGGAACTACTCATATTGGAGGTGGAGTGCTGACATTGGATTGAAGCTGAGCCGGGCTGTGGACAATCAGGTTCAAGAGCCTCGAGGGTTTACCTGGGACTTTAATAACCTACAGTTTTATGGGTTGTACCTACGAATTAAAGGGTACTGGCTGCTAAACTGTAGGTAGAGAGAGTTACAGGTAAGGTGTAGGGTTTAGGGTGTAGGGTTTTGAGGTTTGAGCCCTGGTTCAAGTGACGGAGGGGCCGGGAGTCAAGAGTTTGGGGGTAGGCCGTTTATAGGATTTAGGATTTTGGTGGTTTCGGGTCTCCAGGGGAATGTTCTTAGGGATCCTTACACAGAGATCCTCCCTAAACCCTAAACCCGGCCATTCGGCTGATGCGGGTGCTGCTGTCGCGTCGAGCCCTCGTGCCTTCTGCAGGTGTTCAGCAGCAAGGACAACGGAAAGACCTCGCATGCCCTACCATTTAGGGTTCTGTACGAGTCTCCGGAGTTTTTTTGGGGTTTATGGTTTATGTCTATGTGTATTCAACCCGTCTGAGCTGGTCTTGGAGCCCCCTCTAAGCTTACATGATATACTAAACAAAAAGAATGCCCCTATCTCTCGTTTGGTTGTCCAGGAGGATCGAGCGAGGATCTGGCCATCTGACATGGGACATACTTATCATAACGAAATCTAGGAATAGTAGAATTACTTATTCCGGCTTCCATAGTGACGAGTTCTTCTGCATTGCTGCATGCCTAGAACATTCGCTGACCTACTTCCCATGATGACAGACCCTGCTGTACCGGAAGGGATGCAGGGTAAACCCTAAACCCTACACCCTAAATCCTACGCATTAAACCAAACGGAAACATATCGTTTGGTCGCATTGCGTTTCTGGGGATTCTCGTATCAAATTCTGAGTACTAAGAACAAAGCCACAATTCTTCTTATTCTTATTCTTCTTCTTGTTCTTCTTCTTATGATTATCATTACTAGTAGTAGTCGTCGCAGTAGTCGTCGTCGTCGTAGCGGTGGTGGTGGTGGTGGTGGNNACGCATGAGACTCGCGATCACGATCAACGCCACGACGAGGGCAAAGCACCCGCGTCAGGCTTTCCGGGTTTGGGCTCAGGCTTGCCATATTCATTGCTGGTGTCATTCGCAAAATGACCTTTGCTACCATGAGAGATACCAGTCTTCTGAGTAGTGTTCTAAAGGGTGGTGGTGGTAGTGGTGGTGGTGGAGGTGGTGGTGGTGGTGGAGTATCCCTTTACACCACCCATACCCTACTCAAATTCGTCCTTAAGGCCCCCCCATCTCAGGCAGACACATGCGCAGCACGCGCGACGGTGATGGCAATCAGCGAGAAGAGGATGCAACCGAAATGCCAATGGAACTGTCCGATCCTCGGCAAACGGAACCCTAAAACAACCCTTTAATGATTATGGGACTTAAAGGGTTGTAGGGTTGAGGGTTGTGGGCCGAATCTATGAATTAGTCGACAAACGGAGTAGGAATCTGGTGAGAGGCTGGAGTGTTCGGCCTCGGATGGGTCTAGTTTTGTACTTCCTCTATGAGCCCTCTTCAGCAGCCCTTTTGTGTCGAGTTAGGACAGTTTGGATTTGGGTTGAAGGACTATGAAAAGGTTGCATTGTAGAATGGGTGAAGGGTAACTCAAGAATCTAGAGTTTTAATGAACCCTATCGCAACGCGCAGCCCGAGTCCCCATTCAAAAACCCGCGGCACCAATGGGCCTAAAGACTGCAAAAAGCATGCCCAAGTGTCCCAAATGCCCATATTGTGTGCACTTTGGCCCTGAAAGTTACATTGTAGGAATATCCACATCGCAAAATAAAAAAGGCACCTTGTGGGCCCCTCGAGATGGCTGAGCATCTCACCAACAAGACTTCCTGTTACAAGGACCCTTCTGCATGTCGGATCCCTATGTTTCTGGTGGGGGGCTTCAGAACCAAAGCAGCCCAGCGGCGAGAGGGCTGCCACAACGCCAAGATAGACAAAGACGCAGGCCCTGGAGGCGATGCACTTGCCCCGACAAAGCTTCTGACCCGGAGACTTTTGTACCTAAACCCTAAACCCTTGTGGTCAAGCCTTTCGGGCAACAACACCCAAGGTTGCAAAATCTAAATCTTGAACACCCGACCCTCAGCCAGAACCTGCTTCTTTGGAGGACAGGAAATGTAGAATCTAACATCGAGGCTTTTAGGATATCTGCATATTCTGGTGGCTTCAGCTGAACTCAGAAAAGCGAACGAACAAATCCCGAACCCTTGGCAAGGTTCGGTTCGACCTGTTTCTTGAAGGACCTTTTTCTAAAAAATAAAGCCTCAACCCATCTTTATGGTGTCCGGGCCGCAGCTTAGAGGCGGATACCTTGGGCCAAAGGATGCTTCGTTCTTGATCTCCCTGTGC